ACCCTGTCCTCACTTTCACCTGGTCTATCTCTGACTCCTCCCTTCCCTTCCTTGGAATAGACTAGCCACTAGGATCCACTATAAACCTAACGACTCCCATAGTTACCTGGAATATACAGCTTTGAACTCTGCTTCCCGTAGAGACTCCATTCCATTCTACTAGTTCCTCCATCTCTGTCACATATGTTCCGATGAGGACAACTTTGACTAGGGAGCCTCTGAAGTATTCACCTTCTTCTTCAACCGAAGATTCCCAAGCACCATTCTCCACAGGGCTGTCAAATGGATCCCACCCATCTCCTGCACTACTGCCCTCAACTCCTCTCTTTACTCCTGCAACAGTGATAGGGTTCCCCTTGTCCAGAAGATCTTCAACTGCCATTTCCACCACCTCCAGCAAGATGCCACCACCAGACACATATTCCCCTCCCCTCCCTTGTCCACCTTCCGCAGGACCATTCCCTTCAGGATACCCTGGTCCATTCTACCTTCACTCCCGACACCGCTCCCCCGCAACCCCCCCCCCCCCGTACCCCTACAGCACTTTTTAACGTCACCACTACCCCTGCCAGACCTGCTGAGCTTCTCCAGCAAGTTCTGTTTTTGTTTCTGATTTACAGCTTCCACAGTTCTTTTGTTTTTTTTATGAAAAGACCCAAGATGTAAGATATCATTTGATGACACAAAACACAGAAATTTTAAACTACAGCATAAATTGTATTATGAAGTTTCCAGCATTGGGAGATACCATAAACATAAAATTTAATGCTTTTAGTGATGCCTCTTATGTAAATCGGTGATACTTTCTCCAGCACAGGAGAATTTATGACTTTCCTTAAGGGAAAGGGTGGTAATTTTAAACCTTTGGCTTAGGAGGCAAGAAGGATCAGCAGAGTAGTAAAAAGTGCCTTAGCAGCAGACACTCTCACTCTTGAGGCAACAGACATGGCTTTTGTCTTCATGGACAAACTGGATGAAATTTCAAGAAGGGATTCAGCATCAATACCGTTGCGTGCTACATCTATAATAAATCACTGTGGAATAAGGTACATTCAACAAAATGTGTGTAAATGGAAGAAGACTGAGGATCAATGACGCAGTTTTAAAACAGATACTGAAGAATAGATAAATTTCCAAACTGAAATTGGCAGATAGCAGTGTCCAGCTTTCTGACTGTTTTACAAAGAAAGAGTCAAGCTCAAAGAAATAGTTGGATGTACTGGAAAAGGGGCTATTGGAACTTTAACGTGCAAAGAAAGAAAACAGGAGCATATGTTGTAATTTTGTATATTCTGTTTGTTTTTAGACATAGATAAAAACTTAATGAAAAAGGGATCTGTTATCAATAATCATGTTACCAATAATCAATTCAATAGTCATGAAGTGCTTCAAGAGGCTGGTCATAGCAGGTTGGGAGACTGAAGTTGATGTGGGCCTCGATTCCCTACAGTTTACCTACCGACATAACAGGTCTACAGAGGATGCCATATCCCTAGCCCTGCAGTCATCCCTGGAACATCTGGACAACAAGGACAGCCACATCACACTCCTGCTCATTGACTCCAGCTCCGCCTTCAACACGATTATCCCCTCTAGGCTGATTTCAAAACTGTGTGACCTTGGTTTTGGCTCCGCCCTCTGCAACTGGATACTCAGCTTTCTGACCTATAGGCTGTAATCAGTGAGGATAGGTAACTGCACCTCCTCCAGAATAACACCCAACACTGGAGTCCCCCAAGGATGCATCCTCAGCCCCCTGCTGTACTCTCTGTACACCTACGACTGTGTTGCCAAATTCCGAACAAATGCCATCTACAAGTTCGCTGATGGCACCACCGTAGTGGGATGAATACCCAACAATGATGAGTCAAAATACAGTAGGGAGATAGAGGGCTTGGTGACAAGGTGCAATGAAAACAATCTGTCTCTCAGCGTCGGCAAAACTAAAGAACTGATCACTGACGTCAGAAAGAAAGGAGGAGAACATGCCCCCATCTACATCAATAGAACTGAGATTGAGAGAGTGAAGAGCATCAAGTTCTTCAGACAGACGATAACTGACAACCTGTCTTGGACTTCCCACGTAAATGCAACAGTCATGAAGGCACAACGACGCCGCTTCTTCCTCAGGTGGTTCAGGAAATTTGCCATGTCCATAAGGTCCCTCACCAACTTCTACAGATGCACCACAGAAAGTATACTGTCTGGGTTCATAATGGCCTGGTATGGCAACTGCTCTGCCCAGGACCGTAAGAAACTACAGAAGGTGGTGTGCACAGCCCAGACCATCAAAGAAGCCAAACTTCCATCCATGGACTCTATTTACACGGCTCACTGCCGCAGAAAGGCAGCCAACATCATCAAAGACCCATGCACCCTGGTAATGACCTTCTACAACCTCTTCCTTCAGGCAGGAGATACAGAAACCTGAACACACACATGATTAGGTTCAGGAACAGCTTCTTTCTGGCCGTTATCAGACTGTTGAATGGACTCCAGCCTCAAATAATGTAACCTGCAATGTAACCTGTATGCTTCTAAGTCTTTTTGATCTGTACATCCTTTACTTGCTGTGATCTGCCTGCACTGCTCGCAAACAAAGCTTTTCACTGTGTTTCGGTACATGAGCCAATCAATCAATCAGCTAACCCAAGGTCTGAAGGGATGCACAAGACCCAATGGAACAAGGGTACAGGTGATGGATATATTAGGCAGGGTTTAATTAGGCATGAACTTGTGTAAATGTGGAGAACTTATAAACAATGGGGTGAGAATTTTATGTAGTATGGTTAACTTGGTCTCTGTTCAGAAACATTTACCATCTAGTGTATAACAATCAAGAAGCATTTAACAGAAAGTATGGTGGAAATTTAGAACTGTCACACTGAAGTTAGGATTAAAAAGACTATGGGCTCATTTAAATCATTACAAGAAAATCTAGATGCACTTTACCGTGCTGAAGGTGGGGAAGGTTGGCTGTGATTCACTTTTATTTCAGAGATTACTAGGATTACTTTGTAATAATCAATAACATCCTCAGGATTTGTAATCTACATAGTTGTTTTAAGTTTGAGATTTGTGATTGCAGACTCCTTTAATTTCAACCTGGTCCATGAAATTTCACCTTGAAGGACCTCACTTGCTCTACAAGTGGAGCTCAGGTCCCTCAGACAAAATGAAACAAATTTACTCTGACCACTCTGAGTGTGCTACCTTCCACTCATGTTGGTTATGCAGTTGAGATTCAGTTGAAGACAGAAGGCTTTCCAGATTGTGCTCGAGAAAGTGATTTGTAGACCCCATCTGTTAATCTCTGTGCCCATGTCCAAACTTCTTTTTCTTTTTGTACTGCAGTCCCCATCAATCCTGTCAGCTGTGAGCCTTCTGCATTCCTATTGAATTCTTTTATTTAGCTGTTCCTCTAGCCAATCTTCCCCTGGCCCCCAGGGCAACTACACAACCACACACAACAGCATGATCCAGCGACATCCCAATCAAACCAAGGGTAGTGGCAGCTATTGTCACTTCTCCACCCCAGCACAATGGTTCTAATCTTCCCAACATAGAACTGTCTCCTGATAACTCCTTTGACATTTAGTGCTCAAATCACCTGGACTGACCATGGCCCAGCTTTCTGGCTGACTTGGGAGGGCAGTTCCTTGACCAAATTCTGTCCAGCTCCTTGACTGACTTTCCACTAGTCACTGGACTGGTTAGAAATGGCCTGCAGGACTGATTGTGACCCAAGAGTGTAAGGATACAGATCCCTGAACACTGATCACACCGAACTGCTAAGTGGCCAACTCCTGGACTGAGATCAGATGATGCCTCTTAATGTCTGCAGCACCATCCCTGACTAACCATAGTCACCTTTCACTGGATGAAGGGATATTTTGTGAATACACAAGTAGTGTGTTTGTCAATGTAACCGCAGGTGCACACTATAAGTGTGGCACTGACACAGCACAGTCACAGTACCATACAGCAACATGCCTGCCCAACCTTGACTTTTCAGTGCTCGCAAACACTGTTTTCTGAGCAGTAAAAGCAAGGCAAGACAGAACCATTGACAGACTGTAAGTTCTGACTGTAGTAGCATTGTTCTGGAAGGCAATGCAAGCCAGAGATGCTGTGGGCATCCAAGTAAGCACAAAAAGTGAGTGAGCCAAGAAAGCTAAGTAAGGGCCCAGGATGCACCGTGTTCTGATACAGGAGATGGGTGTGTGCCTCTGCAATGCAAAGCAACCTGGACGCAGTACTACAATGTAAGGTGTTGATGAGCTCCAAAGTGCAGTACTGAAATGCTGAAATGTATTATAAGGGAGTCTGAAATCATCATGATCAGTTGGTGAGACTGGTACTCTTTTGGCAAGGCCTCTATGGAGAAAGGATGCAGATGGTCACCGCCCATAGAGTATGCCCCTGAGGTGTGGGCACTGCTAGTCAAGGAGGAGGCCAATGAGCTGCAGCTGGCAGGTAATTGCTTTGAATTTTAAGTCAGGACTTGGGTGCCCTCTAGCTTTTCACTGATACCTCAGAAAATACCCACCTGCATTTCAATGAGGTGAAATTAGTAATAATGAGATGCTCATGCATGCAAATAGGACTCTTGCCACTCACCAGCAAAACTGTCATTTGTCACTGAACCCTCAAAAGGGAAGTCAGACTTTTCTATCCTCGGTGAGGAGGATCTCATTTTTCCATTCTCAACTTGCTGCAATTTCCTTTTATCATTCAGAAACCGGAGAAACATCCACCTCTCATTCTTTCTCCACAGACAGTGCCAGAGTATTCCTACTATTGTATGTTTACACTACCAATCAGTTCAACTGTTGCGGCAAAGATCCATACATATATACACACATTTCTTTTCTAAAAAAAAAAATGCATAAGTAAATTAAAAATAAATGTTTTACACAGGCAATAATAATGAAATTTGATAGTTATAAATGTACATGAATTTAATCATAATAACTGAATTGAAAGAAATTGCAACTTACTTATCCCAACCCAAACTTTCAATTTCTTTAATAAGCTGTGCATAATACTGTGGAGGAGGAGGAGCTGACAGGTCATTTCTGTTCCTTAATGCAATTTCCTACAAAATTAAGAATTCATTGTTCAGTAATTATCCACAATACATTTACCATACCAGTCTAAATTCTATAGATTACAAAACAGTAGTGAACTCGGTCGACAGAATGACTTGGCAGCAAACAAGTTGAAATTATGTTTTGTTATATCCATAATATCTTAAAGCAGATTAATAACTCTCAATAACGTACTTCAGTTATTTAACTGAGTCAGCAAGTTATCTTGCTTCAGAGGCAATCATTGTTGGTATTGTTTATTAAAAAAAATACAGAAATTGTTTTCTGTCTTCCAAGAGTTGAGGTGAGCATCAACTTTATAGAAGCCTTTAATGACAAACACCTGATAGCTTGTGAAACCTCCAAGCAAACTATTCTTTGCTTAGGGAGTCTTAGGGGTCACAGTCCAAGAATAAAGGGTTAGCTATTGAGGGCTATGTGAAGAAATGTCTTCTCAGGATGTTCGTTCATGGAGTATATTCACGTTAGAGATCAGTGGATGCTAAGGGAATTGAATAACACTGAGGGAACATTGACCAGAGATAGAGCAGCTGTGCTTCAGCTCAATGACAGAGTAGGCTTGAAAGCCAAGTGGCCTTCTCCTACCCCTATTCTTTATGCTCTTACAATGATTTGTTTCTGCATTCAAACTTGGCAGCCTTCATTGAGTGACTTCAGTTCTTGATTTAGCTGCTAGATGGCACACTTTGGAGCAATATTATAGCAATTCTTCAGAAAGTCTCAAAACAAACAGGCAGGAACAGTCCCATTTCATATGAGACAGCATACCTGCCAACCTACAAAATGAGTGACAAACTGAAGAAGTTTACATTCAAAAAAGAAAAATGGACAACTGAAAAAGACTAGAGTGACACGTCTACCAACTTACATTTATGATGTGCCTTGAATACACAACATTTGTTTACAGAAGCATTGCAGCACAAACCTTGACACTGAACCTCACAAGGTGGTTATCAGGAAACGTTAGCAAAAACTTGGTCAAGGAGTTTCAAGGAGCGAATTAAAGGACGAATGCTTAGAAAATTAAAAGATTTAGGGAGGAAATTCCAAAGTCTAGGAGTCAGGGCAGTTGAAGGCACATGCAATTATGGAGAATTAAAGATTTTGGATGAACAAAATATCCCAAAATTGAAAGAGAGCAGATGTCAATGAGGAGTGAAAAGCTGGACAAGGTTTGAGATAGGGAGGAGGAAAATTATGGAGGAAATTTAAAAGAAGGATGAAAATCAAATCAGTATTAGGCTAGGAGCAAGTCAACAAGTATAGGCTGGTAAATGAACAGAACTTGGATTAGGCTCAAGGTAGGAAGTAGAATTTTGGACGAGCTCAATTTTACATGAGGGCAGAGGTTTAGTGGCGTTCCAGGAGGTAATGGTTGAGTCTCCAAGCTAAGGACCCACTTTTAAGGTTAATCTCAGGATCCTGAAGCCAGCTGTAAAATTCAGCCCTTTACATTTAATGACATACAATATGGAAAAAAATTACAATGGGAACACAGTGGGACAAAGTCACGGGTTATAAGCAATTGTATTGGAAGGAGGGAAAGCAGAAACAGTAGGTTTTATGGGAAAGGACTTAAGATTTTTTTCAAAAGAGCAAGTGAACTTTGATAGTTTAAGACTCAATTCCTATTAAACTGGATGCATACAGCTCCAAGAAATATGGATTTTTGGAATTGTTTTGCCGTATTTTGAAGTGAGGTGATACAAAATTTGGAGCCAAGTTATGCTTCAATGGATACATTTTAAATTGTACTTTTTAACGTCACAAATGATATTTATTTTGGACATGGATAGTAACATCCAAAGTATTGATGCAAAACTTGAGGAGGCTAGAACACAAAGATGGTTTAAATCTGAGGAGATATTGTTTTCAATGTAAATTATTATAGTGAAACTCCCTCACTATTATAATTCTTTTTATGTCTCAAATTTGTATTGTTGAAGTTTGTGAACTTATTGATTGATTTATGTCATAAGAGTATGTAGGCAGATATTGTGAGCCTAGTCAAAAAGGCTAGGAGGCTGGGAACACACGAAGTAAGGGTGGAATATAAGGAAAGTCGAAAGAAACTTAAGCAAGGAGTCAGGAGGGCTAAAAGGGGTCATGAAAAGTCATTGGCCAACAGGATTAAGGAAAATCAAGGCTTTTTATACATATATAAAGAGCAAGAAGGCAGCCAGGCTGAAGGTTGGCCCACGCAAGGACAGAGAAGGGAATTTATGTGTGGAGCCAGAGAAAGTGGGCAAAGTATTAAATGAGTACCTTGCATCAGCATTCACCATAGGGAAGGACTTGGTGGGTGATGAGTCTGGGGAAGGGCGTGTAGATAGTTTGGGTCATGTTGAGATCAAAGGGGAAGAGATATTGGGAGTCTTGAAAAACATTAAGGTAGACAAGCCACCAGGACCTGATGGGATATACTCCAGAATTCTGAGACAGGCAAGGGAGGGGCCTGGAGAGAAATATTTGTATCCTCACAAGCTACACTGGTCATCCCAGAGGACTGGAGAATAGCTATTGTTCTTTTGTTTAAGAAGTGTGGCAAGGATAATCCAGCTAATTACAGGCCGGTGAGCCTTACGTCAGTGGTAGGGAAATTATGGGGGAGGATTCTTCGAGACAGGATTTACTCCCATTTGGAAATAATTGGGCGTATTAGCAAGAGGCAACATGGTTTTGTGAAGGGGAGGTCGTGTCTCACTAACTTGATTGAGATTTTTGAGGAAGTAACGAAGGTGATCGTCGAGGGTAGGGCAGTGTACGTTGCCTAAATGGACTCCAGTAAGGCCTTTGACAAGGTCCCTCATGGCAGACTGATACAGAAGGTAAAGGCACACGGGGTCAGAGGTGAGCTTGCAAGATGGATAAATGGAAACTGGCTCAGTCATACAAGACAGAGGGTGGCAGTGGAAGGATGTTTTTCTGAATGGAGGGTTATGAATAGTGACTCAGGGATCAGTGTTGGGATCTTTGCTATTTTTTTTATATATATATATATATATATATATAAATAAATAAATGATTTGCGGATGACACAAAGGTTGGTGGAATTGTGGATAGCGATGAGGACCGTCAGAGGATACAGCAGGATATAGATCAGTTGATGATTTGGGCAGAGAGATGGCAGATTGAGTTTAATCTGAAAAATGTCAGGTAATGCATTTTGGAAGGTCTAATCCGGATGGAAAATATACAGTAAATGGCAGAACCCTTAAGAGTACTGATAGGCAGAGGGATCTGGATGTACATGTACATGGGTCACTGAAAGTGGAAACACAGGTGGAGAAGGTAGTCACTAAGGCACGCGGCATACATGCCTTCATCAGCTGGGGCACTGAGTTTAAAAATTAGCAAGTAATGTTGCAGTTTTATAGAACCTTAGTTAGGCTGCATTTGGAATATTGTGTTCAATTCTGGCTGCCACACTACCAGAAGATTGTGGTGGCTTTGGAGAGGGTACGGAAAAGATTTACCAGGATGTCGTCTCGTATGTAGGGCATTAGCTATGAGGAGAGGTTGAAGAAACTTGGATTGTTCTCACTGGAATGACGGAGGTTGAGGGGCGAACTGATAGGGGTCTACAAGATTATGATGGACATGGACAGAGTGGAATGTCAGAGCTTTTTCCCAGGATGGAAAAGCCAGTTACCAGGAGTCATAGGTTTAAGATGCGAGGGGCAAGGTTTAAAGGTGATGTAGGAGGCAAGTTTTTTTTTAAAAACACAGAGGGTGGTGGGTGCCTGGAACTCGTTGCCGAGGGAGGTAGTGGAAGCAGATACCATAGCAACTTTTAAAGGGCATTTTGACAAATACATTAATAGGATTGGAATAGAAGGATATGGTCCCCAAAGGGTAGAAGATTTTAGTTGTGACGGGCAGCATGTCAGTGCAGGCTTCGAGGGCTGAAGGGCCTATTCCTGTGCTGTAATTTTCTTTGTTCTTGAGTAAACTAGCAATCAGCGTTCTCTGGGAGAAAATCTGGACTTTGAGCAAGAGGGTAAAACAGGTGGTATAAAATTAGCTGCCCATTTCACATCCCTAATTTTCACCTACAATCAATCTTCCATTGAAATTTTTAAAAATAGGAGAAGTAAAAGGGGGCAATATTGAAAGCTTGATTAACTTTTCTTTTCAAGGGTATATTCACTTTACACTCCTACTCTCGTTTAACAATCACACTACTTTTATCTTCATCTGACCGATATAGTTCAAACTAAAAAATTCACCATTAGGCTGAAGTGAAGATACATCAGCCCAGTCTTTCAATATTTTATTCAAATTAACAGAATTTGAAAACCTTGCATAAGAAAAGAAAGGTTTGAATAGATGACTACAATTTAAGGAGACCAAAAAAAAAAAATCAAAATACTGTAAATGTTGCAAATTTAAAGTAAAAACTGAAAATGCTGAAATCTCAGCAGGTCTGGCAGAATCATTGGAGAGAGAAACAAAGTTAACATTTCAGGGCTATGACCTTCCATCAGACCTGAAATGCTAACTTTGTTTTTTTCTTACTACAGATGTTGCACAACCTACTAATATTTCCAGTATTTTCTGCTTTATTATAGTTTTAGTGGGCATTGTTATGACATGTTAAAGAGTAACAGACATTTCGTGAAAAACTGAACTTTGTAAGACAAAATAAATTCATTTTCAATGACTGCTGGCAGTATAATTGCTACATTAAGTTGCCCAAGTCGTGCATGAGGCATTGCCTTCCTATTAAACAAAGCTCTATAATCATGGTTAAGTCAAGTGTAGAAAATCACAAGGAACAATTCCAGTTCCAAGGGAGGTTAATTCTGTAAGTTGCGATTCTCCTTGCCACGACACAGATAAGAGAGTTTGTTTTCAATGTGGCCATCTTCAGCTCTATAGCTGATTAAACTGGGCAAGTTTGAGAAAAACCAGAAAGCATACTTTAAAAATATACAAATTACTGATTAAAACACAGCATTTTTCACAATGTGTTTCATACTATGGAATAATTCAGACTTACATTTGCAATTTTTCAAAGTGTTCTTGGCTGAGCTTTCTGGTGAGGCATTACACAACAGAGAGGAAAGGGAAAAGGAAGAAAAATGCTTTCCAATTTGGGCGAATTTGGGCCACCTACAGCAAGTTCCTTTGGCAAAAACTTCAAAGCAAATCACCAGCTGTTAATCATAGTAATAATTCATATAATTTGCATGCGATAAATTTAATATTTTAAAGAATTTAAGCAATTTGCCCACATTTTTAGCAACTTTAGTTTTATTTTACAAGAGACTTTTGCTAATTGCTTTTTCAATTTTCTCTTGTTGTCAAATTTTATTTTTGAATTGCTTTTCATGCAGTATTCAATTGCAACAGAGAGCAGTACCAACACATCATATTTAGACGTCAAGAAAAAACAGAAACCAATGTGGTTGATCAACATGTGACCGTAATGCAAAGAATATGTCAGTGCATAGGAAACACACTGTTCAATGTTCTTTTTCAATCACTTCAGATGTTCCACAGAATAGAAGTGTTCATTTCCAAAAACAGCCAATATACAAAAATGAAAACAATTCCCACTTTTACTAACCAGATTGATAACTATTTAGCACGTAGGGTTAAATTTAATTAGGGCCATCCAGTTGCTACAGTATTCTAAATTTTTGGAGGTTTACAACGTCAGTTTAGACTTTTCATAAAGGTTTGAACGTTGCATGCACCTCTTATTGCACCTGCAACTGAATTAAGAAAAATATACCTTCCATTACTTACCTAAGATACTTCAGATTTTTAAGATGACCTATTTGACTACATTCATCTATGCTGCTTGTATTTAAATTTTTCCTCAATAATCACATCTTAATCAAATAATAAAGCTGATCTCACAAACTCATTGAGAAATTAGGGACTGCCTTATATGGAATGGGAGTTTCTGCAAATTTTCTATTACTCAGAAGGGAAGACGTTGATTATAAAAGTTTTTTAACTAGAGAAACAAAATACCAAATGCAAGTCAAATAGGAATGTGTGATGTGGTTAAAATTGCCACGTTTGCTCATCAGCTACAATCCCCTCTCCCACCCCTTTTAAAAAAGCACTTATAAAAAGATTGAAAAGTGACAGAAATATTTTGGAATCAGTCATCATTTTTTCCCCACTGTAATATGTGAAACTTTCTTCCAGGAATGATGAATATGCGGAATATGTTTCAAGAGTGGAAGTCATGACAATATATTGAAAATCTATATCACATTTAAACATGGATTTTTTTGAAAAACAAGGTAATGGTACTGATTTTCTGATTTAGCTGCACTTGGTAATAAAACATATCCCCAAAGTCATACATTGACATGTAAATGCAGCAAAACCTAGAATGAGAATAATATGTTTGTTTCCCCCCTGCATTTAAAGGAAAATCTAAAATCTGAGTTATTTTTGGCTGCAGTGTAGAAGTGATTAATCATGTTGTTGAAAAAAAAATAAGCAAAATATAAGAATGCAGTTTATTTTACAGCTCTGCGCTTTACGGTCCACCCGTAACACTCACCAAAACAGTCTTAAACTCCAACATGAAACTGATTAGGTCAGAGCTGTGTTGCAGTCTCTGGTGGAGAAAAGAAAAATGGTCAAATGTTCTTTCAGTGACTGGTGGTACAATACAGTGCATAAGATTCAAATGGATAATAAGTATCTAATAGACGTGCTGCCTTCTCCCCCTGTTCCATATGTATTTTATAGCCATTGCATGTGGGGAGAGTAATAGCTCAACATCATGAATACAGTAATACTCTTCTGGTTTCCGATTCCTTCACAGACAGTTTAGACAAGTCAATTGACAAGCTTAGATAAATACAGTTACTCATCAGCACAGAACTTTCCTTTTTAATGAGATAAATATCATTACACAGAAATAGCAACACTGTCTCAGGGCCATGAACTCTTTCCTTTGATATGGTCTGATATCTGAACATGAATGGGGATGTGTGCGAACTGAAGAGATTAGTGCAGTTTAACCTACAAATAGACAATGTAACGTCCATTTATTATGCTGATAAATAATAGCAAGAAATGTTGAAAGATGAAACACAAACACCTAGCTACTACTTCTGGCTAAAAACATCGAACACATTGTTTTATTTCTCAGATGAAATATTAAGATCTAATTACAAATACTGTGTGTTCAAGTAGCTATTTAGTTTTGATTCACATGTGGCCTAGACATCAGCCTTCATATGCAATCGGTCAGAAAGCATGGCAGCACAATTAAATGTCATAAAAAAAATACTCTACCTTAACCTGCTATAATCTAAAAAATTCTGATGCTTATTAAACTTTCTGCTGTTCGTGGTCTTCACATTAATGGAGCTTCAATTTTGTTTTTAAATGAGTACTTCTCCTTTAGTAAGGTAAATTATATTCCAATAGATCATTTTTCCATTCAGAGACAATTTATAGCAACCTCTAAATTTTTATTACACTACTGAAGCCATTATTTTGCACATTACCTGCTTTACTACGTGCTGGTATCCACACAAGACTTGTTTTAACTGCCAGCTGCACTGAAGTCTTCAACAGATTAAAAGCACAAAAATAAAAAAAAAATGAATTTTGTAATTTTCAAGTTATAAATTGCAGAGTTTCAAAGAAATACAACAACATATAGGTTTCACCACTTCAGAAAAGGAGTATACGAGGTTCGTAACTCACCAAGGCATTATCAGTCTACAGGAAGAGAAACCTTACAATAATGGTCAAAAACATTATCTTACGAACCTGACCAATTGAATTTGAATTTGACTTTTCAGCCCTTAGGCAGCCTGGGATATTATTTTAAGTTAATTTTAAAATAAAAACAGAATTCATTGCATTTGAAAACATTGCAAATGTAACAATTAGGTTTTGATAGTAATCCAGTTTAACCTCAATTCAAAATGACAATGTTAACATTTCGGGTCAAGACTTGCCAATAAAATTTACCTGTTACTGCAGTTAGTGTACCTGCTTTCTGACATAACCAAACATCCCCAAAGGAATGACAGCAAAGATTTAATAAGATTCTATTTCAGCTCTCATAGTTAACACACACTCAAAGGTCACTATGGCTTTACCTAGTCTATTAAAAGTACTTTTAAAACAAAAATGACTCAAACTTGATTACTTTTCATAAAACATATAATCATATAAATGGTAAACTTTGCTGAAAGTGAACTTCTGTATTAGTAACAAATGTCAGGAGCATCAATTTTCATCTTTCCCTTCAGTTGTTTAGTTATAATTTTCACAATAAATTAATTGTAAATTCATAAATTTTAGTTGTATTCCATTAACCATTTTCCACTAAAGTTTTCTGCCTATTCGAATAAAAAGAAAAATTATTCTCCCAAGATGTAGCAACCAAGGTAGTTCTGCACTAAATCTGCATTATGCTAAAAAACTGAGCATTGGTCTCAATGCCCTTTCTCTGGGCTTCCAAATACGTAAATGTCTATACTCAACCATTCCAACGTTACCTCCATCAGCCTCCCATCTTCCGAAACAGCTTTTATTTTAAAGATTTTCAGGAGTGGCAGTTTTCTTTCTCAGATATTCCTTAGATCCATTTTTATGTTAGAAGCCAACAGGCTTGGTTTTTCTATTTTGAGTTGAAGTGCTTTATCAAGTAAGATTCAAGGGGTGCAGTCAACATTGGATAAGAGTAGTGGTTGTGAGCCAATCATCTACTCTTGACTGCATTAATTATGCATCTAGGCTCCTTAATACACTTCTGAAGGAATCAAGAGGCAGACGTGCTTGCCATTGTCAGGGCCTTGCTGTTCACTCTGCTGGCATCATAGCTAAAGTTACCATAGTCCCAGAGAAGCATAGGGCTGGCCTCATTAGAAAGAGGCAACTGGTAGTCATTCTAACCTGGGGGTCATCACGCCTCACGCAAGGTCCGAGGTTGAGAAGGCGTGTCCTTCATGGTGACCTCCACTGGCACAGGAATTGAACTCATGCTGTTGGTGTCACTCTGCATCATAAACCAGCCACCTGGGCAACTCCAGCTGTGTCCCAATTCAACTCCAAGCCAAAAACAGTACGTTGGCTTCCCACTTCACTGACAGGAGCTAGAGGTGCTGGTGGATAGAGTAGTGGAAAGAAGGGCAATACCTTTACCAGTAGAGCATGAAAGGAAGCCACAGCGCCAGATAACAACCAGGAGTATGATAGCAGCCCAGATCAGTTCAGTGGCCCAGAGAAAATGGAATGCAGTGCAATGAGATGAACAATCCTCTATGCTCCTCAAATTACTACCAATCTCTTGTTGCTACCACACACTCACAGGGCCACCATGGTCACTGTGTCACTCTGCTGCTGCAAACCTACCTCACTGAGCTCATGGACTAAAAATTTCACTACTGCATGCATCATTCCTACTCAACAGCTCTCACCTGCCTCATCCTCTCAAATAACAAATCCCTTGCTGCCTGTTGAGATTTCTACTCACACACTGGAGACACCTCACTACATCACCTGGGTAGGCTTCCAAAAACTGACATTAATGATCACATACGATTTGAATACTGATGGAGTGAAAAGCTTTTCTGCAGGCTGACGATACAACACCCTCAAAGCCACGCACAGAATGGTGGCCTGAACCAGGGATGGGCCAACAATGGTGGAAAATCCCACTGTTGAGGCTGCTTGAACCTCTTTGTCACAGGGGAAGAATACCAACAGCATCAATAACATCACAGATGCATTCATGGATCAAAGATTGAGAGGTGTCATACTAGTCACCAATTGCTCCTTGAAACGAGTCTCAAAAATTCAAGGCAGCTGTAATATTGATGGCCACCACGACGGGATGGCTACCAACAATCCTTCTCAGCTGCAAGTGTGCGCAGAGCCACTCCAGTGTTCCACGCATAGCATGGTTAGTAAGCTTACAGATGACTCAAAAATAGGTGGTCTAGTGGACTGTGAAGAAGATTATCTCCGAGTGCAACAAGACCTTGAACAGATGGGCCAATGGGCCAAGGAGTGGCAGATGGAGTTTAATTTAGATAAGTGTGAGGTGCTGCATTTTGGCAAGGCAAACCAGGGCAGATTTGTACAGTAAATCGTAGGGCACGGAGGAGGGTTGCCGAACAAAGACACTTAGGATTGTAAATGCATAGTTCCTTGAAAGCGAAGTCACAGGTAGACAGGGTGGTGAAGAAGGCAATTGGTACATTTGCCTTCATTGGTCAGAGCATTATAGGAGTTGGGACATCATTTTGCAACTGTACAGGACATTGGTGAGGCCACTTATAGAACACTGCGTACAATTCTGGGTGTCCCTCTATAGGAAGGAAGTTGTTAAAATTGAGAGGGTGCAGAAAAGATATACAAGAATGCTGCCAGGACTGGGGAGTTTGAGTTATAGTGAGAGGCTGAATAGGCTGGGGCTTTTTTCCCTGAAGCGTCAGAGCTTGAGAGGTGAGCTTAGAGAAGTTTATAAAATAATGATGGTCATGGATAGGGTTAATAGACAAGATCTTTTTCTTAGGGTGAAGGAGTCCAAAACTAGATGGCATAGGCTTAAGGTGAGAGGGGAATGTTTTAAAAGGACCCAAGGGGTAACCTTTTCTACACAGAAGGTACTGCGTGCATGCAATGAACTGCCAGAGTAAATGGTGGAGCATCTGGATGGCTATATGAATAGGAAGGGTTTAAAAGGGATAGGGGCCAAATGCTGGCAAATGGGACTAGGTCAGATTGGGATGCCTGGTCGGTGTGGACGAGTTGGACTGAAGGATCTGTTTCTGTGCTGTATGACTTTATGTATGGCTCTAACAGCGTTGTGGAGGGACCTATTCACCCATAATGGAACGGTTCAAAAAGACAGCTCACCATCACCTAGACAAGGGCAATTAAGGATGGGATATAAATGCTAACCTAACCAATAATGTCCACATCCCATGAAAGATTTTGTTTAAAATCTATCAACAGAATTTTCAAGTTCTCATTTGGAGTTCAAATTCTTCCATAATCTCAATGTCTCTGATCATTTCCAAAAGCGACAAGCTCCATAAACTCTGCAGACTTCCAATGTTGGCCTCCTATACACCCCAACTCCCTTCATAATCCCTATCGGTGCCACCTATCAGCTGTTTAAGTGCTATAAGTTCTGGAATTATTTTAAAGATCTTCAATTCTTTCAAAACCCTCATTAAAATCTCTCGCTAACAAAAATTTTAGTCACTTTTCTGAAAGCCCAATCATTGGCAAAGTACTAGCTCTTTTCTGACTTACACTGCTGTGAAGTATCTTGAGATACTCTCTCCACCACATCTTTCTTTCCTCCCAGCCATACTAAAAATGTTTAATGAAAACTGAAAGAACTGCAGATGTTGTAAATCAGGAACAAAAGCAAAAGTTGCTGGAAATGCTCACCAGGTCTGGCAGCACCTGTGACATGCACCCATTCCTGTTGCTTCTACTGTTGCAACTTTAACTGTTGCAAGAAGGCCTCACAACTTATTTACTTTATCAGCTTGGAACAGACCACTTGGCACCTCTGTGGCAACCTCTCTTCATAAAAAAGGACAAAATATACCTTGTAAAGTCATGGTATTGTCACACTACCTATAAATAAACACAACTGCTTGCATTTTATGTTCTCTGACAGATTTACAGAATATCTTACTTATTACCAAAAAATGTCGTAATCTTCATATACAGCCTTCTTGGAGTTGTTTTGACTGTCAACAAATGTAGAAGCCAATTGGCACAGAACAAGTTTAGTCGTATTTGTGGTGGGCAAATCAGTGGTTAAAACAATGAGGAGCACTCTACTTCATTCAAGCACTCTTCAGTCATCAAAGACAGCTTAGTAGAATTATGTTACCGCTGAGTCAGAAGAACGTGGGTTCATCATCCAACCCAGATATTTGAATCCTATTGTGTATGCCAATGTTTTAGGCACTATGAAGGGAATGCTTCCTGAAATGCCATCTTTTGGATGAGGCAATCACACCGAGTCCCCTCCTACTTTCTCAAGCGGCGGTCAAAGTTCCCATTTCATTATTTAAATAGCAGAGTTCTCCTCGGTACTCTCTCCACCCTTTACCCAGCAGCAGAAAAAAAAAATTATGTTGTTATTATCTCATTCAGGAACTTGCTGTGTGCAAATTGGCTGACATGCTTCCTACATTATAACAATGGAAGACACTGCAAAACCAATATACTGACTGTAATCTGCTTTGGGGTGCCGCAAGATAGTGAAAAATGACAAATATGCAAGATTTTCTTTAAAACAAAAAATGTCACTGAATCTTCAGCAAGAACCTGAACACTTGGATGGGCCTATTATTTAGTATCCAAATGAAGGATGGTACCTACATTTGCACTAAAACGCCAGCCTAGATTAGGTCAAAACTTGAGGAGCTTTGTAACTAAGCCTAGGTGGCAAATATCAAAACACAGTGCAAATGCTGTATTTGAAATAAAGAAATCCATACCTTGCATTTCTCAAACATTTCTGTTCTGGTAACAGTATCCTTATACGAAACTCCTTGTCCTGGAAACATGCAGTCAAAAGAAAGGATATATTTAAAAACATAATCCAAGTTCCTTTTCAAATCGTAGCAGTGTCCTTTTACCCGAACTTGCATGACATTGGTGAGAAATGTTAAAAGTGTAAAGTTCTGTTTAAGTAAATAAAGTACAGTGGATTATCCACCAAAGACTAGACCAATTAACCCCTGAAGAATAACAAATTTGTGGGTAATTGAGATCTTTCAGTTGCACTTCCCTTTGTTGGGAGAGATCACACTGGACATACATTTTTATTCACAGCTCCTGGATCCAGTGGCTGGGAGTTAAAGACAATTACGTAATGAAGCTTAATGCTTCTCGTACTAACTCAACTTGAAGCTAACCAACCGAAATGTTTGAAGAAGAAATGTCGGCTGCCTAATTATTACATTGTTTAATGAAATTCTCAACCAGTAATATGGTTAATTAAAGAAAGTTTGGAGGATATAGGCCATACAATACCATTAAACACAGTTTTACTAAAGAACTAATAAATGAGTTCTGTTCAAACAGCATGGCATAAACATTGTGGAGCTAACAGAATTAGGCTCAACAATTTTTGCACCAACCCTCTGAACAGCATTCCAACCAGCCCTAGCTTCCTAGCCCATCCCTATAACCCTGCATTTACCATGGCTAAGCCACCTAGCCTGCACATCCCTGGACAATGCAATCAATTTAGCATGGTCAATTCACTTAACCTGCATATCTTTGGACTGTGGGAGAAACCCGGTGCACCCAGCAGAAACCCAGACAGATGTGGGTAGAACATGCAAGCTCCACACAGACAGTCACCTGAGGCTGGAATCAAACCCAGGTCCCCAGCACTGTAAGGTAATAGTGTTAACCACTAAGCCACTATTGTGTTTTGGCAGCAGTCAAAACGTCTAGTGCCAAAACAGTAACGAGGGAAGAGGACGCTTAGTACAGTGCATACTTCTGACACACCGTTATTACATTTGAATCCTTAAACTGAACATGAATGTTCTGTAACTACAAAACTGTAAAAAAAAGAAAAAGAAATATTTTTATCATGAGCTTCCATCTCACTGAGGAGACTTCAAGCCAATCCACACTCAACAATGCTCTAAAAATTCTGCTCACATTTTGATAGCTTTCAAAATGCATATCACATCAGCTGAGACAACCTACAATACTCTAAAAGAATTTAACACTCCAAATAAAGTAACACACAACATTTTAATAAAAAAGGCCATTTGTTCTCTCTCCCAATGCTTTGAAAATTTCTTGGATCCAGATCCGCATCCACATCTACGTTAATGGTCATAAACTGGTCATGAACCCAACGGTATAAACTGGGGTCTGCAGTATCTATCTGCTTTATGTCAAGTCCAGGACCCAGTAACCTTGTTTTTATGTATATAAAAGAAAGCCCTTTACAGAAGTAACAAACAGCCATCTACTGCCATTTTTAGAATTTTGATTTCAAAACGGCATTCACATACATTTAAATTATACAGTTTTCATCGTAACAGATAAATAGATAGGAAAATGCCTTATGAAATGCAAAGACAAGTTAAGGCAAGGAAATAAATATAAAATGATTTTTAAAAGTGGTAATACATTAAAAGGAATAAAAAGACATGAAGATTTAGGAACTCACAATACTTACACCTTTAAAACTGGACATCAAATTGATAAAGTTTACTTAAAAATAACATATGAAATCCTAGGTTTTATAAAAGCAGAATACAGAAGCAAAATAGGATGCAAAATCTTTATCAATTAGCTACATTAATAAAAGCTGCAGTGAGAAGATTATTCACAATTTTGAGTATCTACTTTAAGAATAATGTGAATGCCCTAGAGACAATCCACTAGAGATGAATTACATGGGCAACAGGTTTAATTTATTAAAGAAGATTAAGGGGCGAGATATTCAAAATTATGTAAGATTTTGATAACAAATAGGGAAAAGTAATTTCTTTTCATCAATGAGTTGTGATCATGGCATATGAGATTATCACCAGAAATATGATGAAAAGGTTAGAGTTATATTTTGTTAAATGCATCATATTGGGAGATGTTTTGCTTTAATGGGTCAGTCTGAGCAAAATGCATTTAAAAGTAATTTGATAAATATTTGAAAAGGGAAACATAAAAGGATATACAGAAAGGGTACAATCATGGGACAATAGCTTTCTTTCAGGAATGACAAGCTGAATGGGCTTCCTTGTGCTACAAAACGCTAGAATTTTTGGTTGGAGTGGAAAAAGTGGGAAACAAAGAGAGAGACAAGCGAGTACAGTTTCCACAAACTGCAACTCAAACTTGTTAGTGATGCTGGTATTAACCAATCACATTCTAACAGAGACTGTACCTTAACCGTAATGAAACCATCAAACACGGTCTTCTGCTTGTTCTGAGGTATCAGAAGTGGACACTCATTGATCAAACCATCACACTCTGCCATGGCTTATCAAAAATATACAGACCTGAAAGATATTAATATGTCTCATAATAAAGATACATTTTGCTTACCAAATTACTTCAAAAACTCAAATACAATCGCAGACTTAAAATGAATGATGAGAACTTCAAAAATAAAAAATTGTATTCCATTGACAACTGACATAAAACATGCCCACAACACCACCATTCTCCCTCCCCCACTACCTTAAATATTCCACATTATTCAAGAATACCAATTATAAACATTCATGGAACAAGTTTTAAAAGTTCTGCTCGGTCTTGAAATATCATACACAATTTTATATTCTATATCATGCACATGAAAAACACAAAACAAAATGGGATGAAATCCAGATGAATTTGTAATAAACTAAGAACAATGCTAATTTTTTATCCTTCCATGATCATGATATACAACACCAACAGCTTATGCCTACTCGTGTCCACCCGTAGGAATCTTTGTATGAAACTCCAACCTTCTCTGCTGGCATGGCAATGGGATTGTTCCAACACTACTAAGCTAAAAAAGAAAGATTACAAAGGAAAAAGGGCAGAATTTTCTGTTCCCTTGAGTGGCATGGACAATGGCAACAAAGTTGGAAAAACAAAGCAAAAATGATAAAATAAAAACCTCTAGTCAAGAATCTTTCTTCCCAGTTTTCTCCTGAGAGTTTAAATGGCAAGATCAGAACTTCACTAATCAGTTTACTGCCATGCTTTTGTATCCCATCAATAGCTCAACTTTCCTCATTTCTATGTGGCTAGTAGTTCTCCTCTCTTTTCCTGAAAAACTAAACAGCGACCATTTCTCACTTGAAATTCAGAACAAGAACCACTTGTTCGCCTGCTGCTTCTTTGGGCCTTCATCCAATTATGTCTTCATTGTAACTTCCCTTCATGCTCCATGGACACTGTTTCCTCCTCCACATTTCACCCACATAAGTCAGGATCAGCAAATCATCAAAATCACCATGTTATCATGCCCACTATCAGACCAATTCACACACTATCTTCATCCCTTCAGGACTTCACTTTGGATCAGGGACACCTATGACATGCATACTTCAGCCAGGTCGCTTTGCTAACAGAGACACACATGTATCTCATGCATTTATACAGGTGCATTTCTTCTTAAGCACTCTTCCACTTTGTAGTTACTTCTGGCTGCCAGCTGTTGTGGCTTGTGTTGCGTTTTAGTGCAGAGGGAAAAGCAACCTGTCATATTTCAGACAATCAAGGGGGTGGACATGTTGCTGCATAGCACCATGCTTTGTCAATGTCACACCATCAGCACAGGCAGCAGCTTACACAGTAAACACACTGCATGGCTTCAACCACGGCAGACATAGCCATGTCTGAAAGTCAAAGGAGACCAGTCCTTAATGGCATCAATGAGACTACAAAAAAATAAATTCCAGATCAGGAGTTGGGTATGGTCAGCCCCACAGATCACGTGCAAATCAGTTCAGGCATTACAGGCAAGTCAGTTAGGGTGCAGTGGAACCATCAGTCTGGGAGTTGGATCAATGTTTCCTGCAAAGCTCGAATGGAGTTTGATGGAAAAGGGGTTAATGGTGATGCACAAGCAGGGAAGGTGGTATGATGTCCCTAATGACTGAGTAGAAAGTGGAAAGGACTGGAGGGGTTAGTGGTTTGGGAAGAAGTGAAGGGCAAGAGCCACTGTGTGGACACGGTGCATGCAATCACGAGAGTCGTTGTGCATGAGCCTTGGTGACAGACAATCGCAGTGTCAGAATTAGAGTGATTGATAACACCGTAAGTGTACGCTGGAAGAGAACAGATGGCAACACCTATTCTTGCAGAGCGCAGTGTTCATCCTACACTGCTGAGCACTTCATTTCACCCAGGGCATTGCAGACTGGGTTGATGCAATCTTGATACAGGCTGACTGAATCAGGTGATGAGAGCTCCTTTGCCAGTCAGCAGTCTACAGCATTGCCCTCCTTTGCACCATGCCATCTACTAGCATCTTCAACAAATCGAGCAGTTTATTTCCTTTCCTCATCCATTTCTTTGGCGATAACATACATTAATGGCCTGGACAATGTAACTGAGGGCACTGTTGCTAAGTTTGCAGATGAGTCAAGGATAGATGGAGAGACAGGTAGCATTGAGGAAGTAGGAAGGCTGCAGAAGGAGACGGACAGGCTAGGAGAGTGGGCAAAGAAGTGGTAGATGGAATATAATATGGGAAAGTGAGAGGTTAGGCACTTTGGTTAGAAGAACAGAGGTGTAGGCTATTTTATAAATGGGGGAAGGCTTCAGAATTCTGAAG